TTTGCATTGTATGAATACTTTTTTCATCCATTAAAATAGATAAATTGGAATTATTTCTCTGAAATAATTTTTTTGTGTTTTCTATACATGTTTAATTATTATGCATCTGTGCACAGTTAATTATATATGTATTATAAGTATTTTTATTCATTAGTTGGAAATACAATAAATTAAAAAAAAATGTGTATATATATATATATATATATATATATATATATATATATATATATATATATATAGGGGGGGAAACAAATATTCGTACACATACAGATTTTTTTTTAATTTATTCTATTTCCAACTAATGAATAAACATACTTATAATACATATATAATTAACTGTGCACAGATGCATAATAATTAAACATGTATATATATATATATATATATATATATATATATATACTCTCTCTCTTCCATAATTTTCGACGTATAGGGTTACGGAAGAGGAGAGTATATATATATATATATATATATATATTTGTTATATATATATATATATATATATATATATATATGAAGGGTTGGGCAAAATAATTGGAACAGTTGCAAAATCCACTCCTATATATCAAAGACCTAATATATTAAGAACTTTAACTAAAACTTTGTAATTGCAGGTTATATATATTGTAAATACGTTTATTTATCTAATTTACTGTCTTTGTCTTATTTATTTTTAGAATTTAGTAAAATTTAAGCTAAATGCGTGACCTCTCCGAGTTCAAAAAAGACCAAATTGTTGGAGCTCGCATGACAGGAGCCTCGATCACTAAGGTTGCTGAACTCTTTGGTTTTTCAAGAGCTACCATATCAAGAACACTGGTGCAATTCGAGAAACAGGGCAAGACCTCTAGTAACCGTAACAATTCGGGCCGGACTTGCAAACTTACTGACAGGGACTGACGTGTATCGAAACGCAATGTGGCAAAAAATCATCGGACAAATGCGGCCAAAGTGACTGCTGAGTTGAATAACCATCTGAATAGTTCAGTTTCTACTAAAACTGTTCACCGTGAGCTCCATAAGGCTGCATATCATGGAAGAGCCGCTGTGAAGAAACCTCTTTTCTCCACTCGCAACTTTCAAAAGAGGTTGAAATGGTGCAGAGATCACAATACCTGGTCTGCAGACCAATGGAAGGAAGTCATATTCTCAAACAAGTCCAGTTTTTCTCTTTTCCCAACTTCAGGGCGAGTTTGTGTGGAGTCAACCCAAATAAGCTTACAACCCTGACTGCCATCTTCCAACAGTGAAGCATGGACGTGGAACAGTGATATATCATAGAAATGTCTCAGTCCAATAGTTGCCCTGCATGGTAGAATCAACAGCAAAGATTACCTGAACATTTTGGGAGATCATGTTCATCCAAGGGCCAAGACTTTATTCCCTGATGGTGACTGCATCTTCCAAGACAATAATGCTCCAATACATACCGCTCGAGTGGTTAAGAATTGGTATGAAGAGCATGAAATTGAGCTAGAACACATGGAGTGGCCTCCCCAATCTCAAGATATCAATATTATTGAACATTTGTGGTGCATTTTGGAGCAACAAGTTAGGAGCCGCTATCTTCCACCGTCGTGTCGTAAAGAGTTGGAGAAGGTTTTAATGGAAGAATGACTGAAAATTCCTCTGGATGAAGTCAGAAAGCTGTATGATTCCATTCCTAGACGTATTAAAGCTGTCTGTAAGGCTAAAGGAGGACCAACTCCATATGAAATAAATTTTCTTTGAATTTAACAAGTGTTCAAATTATTTTGTCCAACCTTTATATATATATATATATATATATATATATATATATATATATATATATACAGTGTGACCTGGGGATGCTCCCGCCCGAAATGCTTGCAAGGACACCCTCCATGCGCGACATGGCACTGAAACAACCCTGATATTGTGTAACTGTTGATCAGAGCGAGCACACAAGTGGCTATGAAAGATTTTTGGCTTTTAACTACCAGTCGGTAACTGTAACCAAAAAACTGCCAACCCAATAGCCTCAGTATGAAGAGACGTTTCCACCATCCAAGCATATCACAACAAATTAATGACAGCACGAATATTAAGGTCTGAGAAAAGAAAAGGAACCCGGAACCTCTCCCTAAACAAGAAACATGCGATGTTCAAGTGAAGGGGGAGGAGTGTGAACCGGGCGTTATGAGAGCCTATCTACTCCTGTTAACAAAATTGACCTCCAGATAAATTATTTCAAGGAATGAGCTTATTTGGAGAGTCGACCTGTGGCCCACAAAATGTCTCAATACAAGCTGTGCGCCTGTGTGTAAAAAAAATGTAGAATATAAAATAATTAAGTTTTAACTTAGAATAAGTCCGAATACCGAGTCTTTTAAAATGCGTATTCAAAATCACCAGTAAATATACACCAAAACGAAAAAAAAAAATATTGTTAAATGCAGCGATAAACTACATCCGCGTCATGGGTAAGACGATAAACTACGTCCAGCAGCAAGGCCTTTGATCAGGAGGTTTCGAGGAGCGTAGAACCACCTCTTAATTGCTGGTGTTCCCAGATCCACCCCGACCCGGGGTAGTAGCACCTGTTAGGGACCCAGCTATGGGCAAATAGTCATCTATTACAAACAATACTTTTTTGAAAAAAATTATTACCAGCAATACAATTTTGAAGGAAATATATTAACACAAACTGATTTTTGACAAAACAAAATATTACCAGCAATAAAAAAATTTTGTCAGCGTTAAATAACCCATTGAGTTAGATATGCCTTTAAACAAAATAAACCAAACCAATCTAAACCAAAGAATATATACTATATTCATACGAACCTATCCTAAAAATGTTGTCGGCATTAAATAACTCATTGATGTTGATATACCATTAAACAAAATAAACCAAACAAATCTAAGCCAAAGAATACATATTCTATTCATACGAATCTATCCTAAAAATGTTGTCGGCATTAAATAACCCACCGAGGTTGATATGCCGTTAAACAAAATAAACCAAACAAACGAACAAGTTATATATATATATATATATATATATATATATATATATATATATATATATATATATGATGACTATATATAACTATATATATATAATTATATATATATATATATATATATATATAACTATATATATATATAACTATATATATATATATAACTATATATATATATATATAACTATATATATATATAAAACTATATATATATATAATATATATATATAAGGATATATATATAACTATATATATATATATATATATAATATATATATATATTCATATATATATATAACTATATATATTTAACTATATATATATAACTACATATATATATATAACTATATATATATATATAATTTATATATATATATATATATATATATATATATATATAACTATATATATATATATATATATATATATATATATATATATATATATATATAATAAACAAACATAAATAAAGAAAGAAAGTTTAAGGGACGGTAGGAAGACAATGCAGATAATGAAGATAAAAAAATATTAAATTAAAAAGGAGAACATAAATTATATTCGGAGTCGCCCAATTGCAGACAGTCGGAATTTCCTTTATCAGTGACTTTTGACCAAAGTGTGAATTCTGTTATCGCCATCATTCGCTAGAGTTTTGGGTGGTAGAAGATTGACTGTACATTTTTACTATGCCCTCCTTTTTTTAAATGGGTCATATCGGTCCAACAATTTTTGCTTTTTTTTTTCCTTTAAAAAAGAAAAGAAGCGAAAAGTTTCCGAATACCAAGTCTTCCAGACTGCGTTTGCGAAATCCCCAATCAGTAGACTCCAAAACTAAAAAAAAAGTTAAATGCAGTAAAAATGTTATCTATCTATCTATCTATCTATCTATCTATCTATGAGCATAAATTAAAAAAAGCTTTCATGCAAAAATGCAGGTAATCAAGCGAAAAATATATATATATATATATATATATATATATATATATATATATATATAATAATAATATATAATATTAGTGGTCAGTATATATATTATTTATTTTTAATTTATTTTGAATCAAGGCTTGTTTTTTCTCGCGGCTATAGACTTTTAAAGAAAGTTGACGTCTGAACCGTCATTGTAACATTTCAAAACTAAACTAAATTACTCTTTATTAATCACCATAGAGATCCTTCCCTGCTCCCCCCCATTAGAATGACTGATAATCAACTTTTTGAGAGCAACTCTCTGCGTCTGCTCGGTCTCACGTTGAATGCTGACCTGAGATGGAACAAATACATTGAGTCAATTGCTTCGTCCACCGCGAGGAAAGTTGGCTCTCTAAGCCGCGCCAGGAAATTTTTCTCCCCGGAATCGATACTTCAAATATGCAAATCAACCATTCGCCCTTGCATGGAGTATTGCTGACATATATGGTCTGATGCACCTTCTGTTTACACCGGAGTTCTTGACAAGATCCTGAGGTGGATATGCAATATAATTGGCCCTGATCTGGCATCTCGTCTGCAGTCACTCTCTCACAGACGCGCCGTCGCCTCTCTCTGTCTTTTTTACAAATACTTTCATGGTAATTGCTCCGATGAGCTGCTTTCACTGGTTCCCAGACTTCATGAATTCAAGCGCCCTACGAGGCTGGCATCCCGCTCTCACCATTTCACTGTAGAAACTTTTAAATGTAGCCGCCTCTTCTACTCTAATAGCTTCACACTGCACCTCTCGGCTGTGGGAACACTCTTCCCTATTACTGTTTCCCTGAGAGCTATAATCTCCAACTATTCAAATGTAATGTCAATCGACATCTTCAGTTACCTTGATCTATCCACTATCCCTCTCCTCATCCTTTCTTCTATCACTCCTATCTGCTCTCGCTCCAAATCTTCTGCAACCCCCCTGCATCCTAGTGGCTTCACGCCTTGCTCGAGACGTAATGCTTAAAAATACACGGGCACAAATATTTAATAATCTGTGTGCATGTCTGTGTACGCACTTGTGTGTATGTGCATGTTTGGAACAGAGAGATAGATAGATAGATAGATAGATAGATAGATAGATAGATAGATAGATAGATATGGACAGGCTGAGATAGATAGATAGATAGATAGATAGATAGATAGATAGATAGATAGATTGTGTTGTGGGACGGCGTATGTGTTGAGAGATAAACACTTGAGTCTTTAGAAATGCTCACAGCAAACATGGCAGGCTCGGGATATGAGTCCACGTAAAGAAAGTAAATAAACGACAAAAACCAATATTTATACAGAAACATATGATGTTGTATTAACAACAAAGTATGCAAGCGACAAAGACAATACTGTGTGTGACAAAGATATGTGAAAACTGATTTGGTCCAAAGTATGTGTAGTTAGGGAATGTGCGTATGTACGTGGGAGTGTGTGTGTATGTATTGGTCCGGTGTGTCCCAAAAGGGAACACGTTCTTACGCGAGAGATTTACATGTTCTCGTATAAGCGGAAAGTAAGAAGAGAATGATAGAATTTTATCGCAGAATATTTATAGTCTTGAAAGCGTCCCCAAGTAGCCGTTTCGAAATTTAGGAGGAGGTAACTCGACAGTACATTAGCAAGAAAGGTATACATATACTGTTTTTCAGGCAAGGGTGCTAATTCACCAATAGTCATATTAGTAGGTGCGACAATAGACAGATAGATATGGACAGGCTGAGATAGATAGATAGATAGATAGATAGATAGATAGATAGATAGACAGATAGATAGATAGATAGATAGATAGGAGCAGATTGAGATGAATAGGTAGTAAAAATTTGAGATAGCTTGATAGATAGTAACAAATTGAGATACAAAAATAGATAGATATGGACAGGCTGAAATAGATAGATAGATAGATACATAAATAGATAGATAGATAGATAGGTAGATAGATAGATATGAACAGACTTAGATAAATATGAACAGACTGAGATAGATAGAAACAGATTGAGATAAGTTAGTAACAATCTGAGCTAGCTAGCTAGATAGTAACAATATGAGATAGAAAAATAGATAGATATGTACAGGTTGAGATAGATACGTTTGCAGCTTCCTCTCTTAAAAATATACACTTTTCTTTCGTTTGAACAACTAAAATCTATCCTTCTCTCTCTCGCTATATATATATATATATATATATATATATAGATATAGATAGATAGATAGATAGATAGATAGATAGATAGATATGAACAGACTGAGATAGATAGATATGAACAGAATTAGATAGATAGCTAGCTAGATAGGTAGGTAGATAGATAGATATGAACAGACCGAGATAGATAGATAGCTAGATAGATAGGTAGGTAGATAGATAGATATGAACAGACTGAGATAGATAGATAGATAGATAGATAGATAGATAGAAACAGATTGAGATGAGTAGGTAGTAACAATCTGAGCTAGCTAGCTAGATAGTAACAATTTGAGATAGATAGATATGGACAGGTTGAGATAGATACATTTGCAGCTTTCTCTTTTAAAAATATACACTTTTCTTTCGTTTGAACAACTATAATCTTTTCCTTCTTCTTCTTTTCTTCTTCTCTCTATATATATATATATATATATATATATATATATATAGAGAGAGAGAGAGAGATAGATAGATAGATAGATAGATAGACAGATAGAATCTAATGCAAAGAAACTCACAGGAATTCTCCCGCTCATTTATTATTAAGACAGAGAATTAGATGTCGGTTAAGCAATTAAATTAGAATAAGAAGAACGTTTGGGAGATAAATTTATTCTATTTCGGTACTTATCCTCATGAAAGATTCATTCGATATAACTGACGGTCTTTCGATGGAAGATACGAACGTATTTTTCAACCAGTCATTCCTCCACTCTCTCCATTTATTTGAAATGACTTTTAAACTTATGCAATAATATTTCATTCGTGAACTATTTTTGTTATGCTTTAACGTGTAGACGTTTATGAGCGTTTGCTTTAGTAGAAAACAAAAAAAAAAGATTGTGTTTTTTTTGGAAAACCATCAAGAAATCGTTTTTGTACATTTTTCTAGATCTTAAAAGACATGAAAAATCGTTGATATTGTACTATGTGGTATATAGGTTATATATATATATATATATATATATATATATATATATATATATATATAAAAGTCAACATAGAAGTCAACATTCAGAGGTGACAGGCTGTTTCCTGCTAGAGCCATCGTCAGGCCGCCTGACGTTTGCGCCTAGCATGAAACAGCCTGTCGCCCCTGAGTGTTGACTTCTATGTTCACTTTTATATATATATTTACATACGCTCTATCTCTGATATTGAGCACTTTATCACATAAGTATAGCACACCTTAAAACTATATTTTTTCATATATATATATATTTGGTTGGATAGATGTGAGTTTGACAAACTCACATCTATTCAACCAAATATGTTAGCTCTATCTCTGATATTGAGCGCTTTTAATAAGTACCCATATGCATATAATATATAAATAAATATATATATATATTTATATACACTTTTCACACACACACACACACACACACACACACATATATATATATATATATATATATATATATAGTCAGTGTGGTTATGGGGTTATGGTCCAGTATCTGTGGGCGGAAGGCTTTATTGGCTGAAGAACGGCTGGTTCTCCCGATTGAATCAATGGTTACGTGTCCGTGAGCAAGACAAACCTTCAAGTTAGAAGACATCGGCTGTGGGTTTAGAGAGATAAGCGCCGTCAAGTCTATATGCCACACATGAATAAATGCCTCTCTGGATTTCCACGAAGATATGTTAAGGAAACTGGTTAGGTGCTCAACTACGCATTGACCTTACGACCACACCCGGTCATCCTGATGACGAAAGACCGACGAGACTAGATTTTCAAGTTTTGCTTTAGGACAAACACGTTCTTTATGCGAATTACAACTTGGAGATGCCTAAGTCAAGCAAGTATAAACATTTAAATATCGAAGAAGTGTTGTAACAGAAGACAGAAAATGCGGCACTAAAATCCGAAGGCGAATTGAGAGTTAAAGATGCCTTCAAATAAATAAGGAAAATATTAAGAACACAGAAAAAAATTCCTTAGAAACTAAGAAAATTGTACTTAATTGTTACATAATATCGTTCTTCCTATGTAGCAGTGAATGCTTAATCATCTCATCCCAGGTGAAGAAGACACTTCTACAGAGGATGCTGAGAATACCTTCGACTAAACATGTGAGCAATAACAATGTTTTATGGAAAAGAGAAACAAATTGAACACTTACCTTTAATCCCAGAAAGCGGCAAAGGGTAATGAGGAAATAGGGCTTAGGGAATTCGATACTCACAAAACATAGGCAAGGGAAAGATGAAAAATGCGCTTAATTTACCTAATGAGCTTGTGTAAATGGTTGGTTGAAGAGAGTTTAGGAAAGTCAGCAAAATGAGAAAATGTATTAAAAGCTACAAGGGACAGGAAATTGTGGAGAGACATGATCGCCCTTGTCCTGAAGTTAATACATAAGCACGATGACATACATGCATACATATATAATCGCCGGCTACTCGTCTCCGAGTTTCAGCTAGAGCGTCTATCCACTCATCGTCACCGACGTATGCTCAGGTACGTTTGTACTTCTTTAACACCCACGGAGCCCACCTGTTGTTTCTACTGCAAGTATGTTGAGCGGGCCTTATTTACAGTTTTTGAAAGAAAGAAATCAGGTGAGATCAGCAATTTGAACAGGACTTGTACGCTCGGACCCTCGTCCACGATGACTGATGTCTTTGTGCTAGCTCAACCATTGACAACTTCTAAACCTTTCCGTCAACCAGTTTTCAATCTACAAGGCTTGGTTCAGCCCATTGTATAGTTTACAGGTATTTTTCAACCGTGTCGCACACTGGGATCGCCTCCTCTGGCCTATAACCAGGGTCGAAAAGCGAACGTACATCGTGATCAAGAATCCTCTGACCCATCGGGGTCGTAGGGATACCGCGTGCACGCCTCCCATATAACCAGGGTCGGAAAGCGTACGTACATCGTGAATCCTTTCACCCATCGGGGTCGTAGGGATACCGCGTGCACGCCTCGCATATAACTAGGGTCGGAAAGCGAACGTACATCGTGAGCAAGAATTCTCTCACCCATCGGGGCGTAGGGATACCGCGTGCACGCCTCCCATATAACCAAGGTCGGAAAGCGAACAAGAATCCTCTCACCCATCGGGTTCGTAGGGATACCGCGTGCACTGCAACCGCAGTAGGAGTGGTGTTTCTTGGGCAAGATTGACATTTGATCAACTCATTACATGTTCCTAGAATATCATAGTGTCTTCATGAATTGTACATCTCCACTTGCATATATACATAAATGGTGGTTGTCCACTCCTGATCGAGTATGACCATCCCAGGACTCCCAAACCAACATTTCATGGAACATTTCTGTCGTTGATGACGTTTCAAATGACCTTCAAGACATTCCACTTAAATACAGGCGAGTCTTCCGATAGCAACCCGATTATCTGGATGTTCTGTTTTATAGTGCTGAGTGAGTCAATGGTTGACTTACATAATTTGCTATAAATGCAGACGAAGTTTTGCTGGGTATCATATTGGTAGATGGGAGTGTTTCTCTGTGTCCATTTGTAACTGAAGAGGCCTGTCCTCGAGAAGTAGACACGGCCACACTCATTGCACGAGAGGGAATCCTTTATGCTCCTCTCGGGAAGAGGGTTGACATCTTTGATATATCTATCAGCTCATGTAAGCTAAGTGTAAGTAACTCTGTTGTTTTTTAAATTCTTTATTACCAACAACAATCCGATTTCTCTCACACCTCCGTGTCTGATGCAACATTTACCCGTGTCTCAGCATCGACGTTGACCTTTTAAATTAATATACAATATAATAGAAATCAATATATACATGCATATATATGTACGCATAAATACAATCATAGATGTAGGTATTTAAAATGACTGTTCTCCGTGAGATACGGCAAGCGACGCAACCATTGTAACTCAGTGGCACGAATATTTATACTTTTTTTAATTCCTAATTTATAATTGACAGAAGTAAATTCCGTCGCTTCATAAATTAATCGAGATTTGAATCGACGAGCCTAATTCAAGCCCCCGCTCCCGATGTGTTACGTTCAGAAAAATGACTTTGGGAGAGTCTCTTGTCGACTCAGATATTGGTTAAATCGGAGGGTATACTGGACTGTCGAGCCCGTGAAGGCAGCTAGTGTAGAAGAAGGACTAGATGCCATGGCAGTTCCCAGATTATAAAGACAGGGAATCTGCGGAGAGCCATGAGCGCTAATGACTTGAAGGAACATAGAACTAAGAAAAATTGTTATTTTGATCGCAATGTTTTGACCAGTGAATTATATCCCCTTTGTTAGGTTTAAATGATCACTTTCAGGGATTTTGAAATATGAACCTTGGAACTGAAGAAGCTGCGACATAGAAAATATTTTAGCAGAGTTTAAACATAAAAAATTCTTCGGTTTGTATTTTGTAGTTAATAATGAAAATTGCTTATCATGTATGAAAAAAGTAAACAGACTGATGTGCAAGAAATCTTGTTAATCTGAAAATTATTCGCTTTCATGAAATGTGTTTCTGAAGAGGTCAAAAATATCAACAGTAAATAAAAAAGACTTTGTAAGAAAAGATAAATAATTGAAGCGACCAGTAAGAAACATGGAATATTTTATCGTTGGAGGCGTGACAAATTTAAAACGCTGCCTACCAGAACAGCATTAATGAAAAAAAAATCCTGAATAGACTATTTTTACGGTAATGAACTGTATAATGATTTTAGTAAAAATTTAGTAATATTGAAAGTGATTTATGTGAAAGTGAGTAAGTCAGTTTAACTGCAATTGAGAGGGAAGGATTACTGACAGTTGAATCCTGTTTTTTTTTTAAAAATGTTATGGTCTTGAAAATGTTTTCAACGAAATGCTAGATGGCAGAACGGGAATGAAAAACGATTCTGAATGGTTAAGCAAACATGGTTGATGTCAACAACTGAGTTTATTATTTACACTATTTACATTTTTCGGATTGTTGTCCTCACCTTTATTGCCATATTCATGCTCCGGCCTTCTTCAGGTTAATAGGAATTTCGAAAAGGACCCTTTATTTCGTCCACACAAGTATATTGTTCTAGTTCCACATGCCATGGCTCTTTGGTCATGTGTTCTTGTGGACCTATAGATAAAAGCGTTGATTGAAGTATTCCAGTGACTTTACTCAAAGAATAGTGAGTTCAATAACCAGCCACAGCAGAGGTGAACAAAAACTTAAGTGAAAAGGAAATAACTGAGACTGAGATATCCGGAAGAGGCATGGCACTTGGAACTAGAACAAGCTACCCCGGTGGATTTAATAAAGGGTTCGGTTCAAAATTACAACGTATATCACCTGAAGAAGGCCGGAGCGTACAACGGCCGAAATGTTGTGAATATGACAACAAAGATGAGGACAACAGTCCGAACAATGTAAATAGAGTAAATAGTTCCCTAATCTCAGAAATATAAACAGAAGTTGGGTTTGTTGTAAGCTATGATCTTATTCTCGAACTAATCCAAACATATGATCAGGAATTATTGTTCATATATCAGAAATCTGTGGTTTTATTCAACTTCTTGAGTTGAAGATTTTAACATTTGTGTCCTTAACTACTTCAATGTCTTAATCAAAACATATTACCTATTCATAAAGTTTGTGTCTGTCTTCAAGTAAACATGATGCAGGCATTGAGCGAAGAAATCGATTTCTGCTTGTGCTCTGTTTCGTAGTCTGATATCTTGATAAATCTCTTGTTACTGTTATGTCAACATGATTTAAGTAGATACAGTTTGGCTAAGTGAACACTTTTGGAAAACTAATTTCTTGTCACTGTTATGTCAACATGATTTAAGTAGATATAGTTTGGCTAAATGAACACTTTTGGAAAACTAATTTCTTGTAAATAAAACTACTTTCTTATAAGTGCCAACAAGTAGTGGCATAGAAGCTGCAACGACTATTACTTACCTTGATATAACGGATCGTATTATCCGCCAAAGGATTATGTTTCTCTTTCGATTGCATTGTTGCTTTCACGTAAGGACTGAACCCAGAATACCTCTACCATTTCGCCTACTGGAATTTTGTCTAATAACCAAATCTTCAGTCTGTTCACAAATTGGTCGATCGCTCTTCGGTTTTTCTGATAGTTAAGCACGCATCGTCAAGTAATTTTCCTGATGACTAACTATACCAGTAAATCAGAACTAAAGAGTTTTCTCTGTCTTTCTATTACAAACTTTTTATCTAACAATCATTCGTTAGATCTGTCCAAAATCTTGTCTATTACGACAGAATACATAAGGCTTCTTTGATAGTTAAACAGGCCTAGACAAGGAAACAAACCTACCACACGAATAGTGAACTTTCTCTTAACAAATTTTGATAAAGATCATTCACATCTGTCGGCAAATTGGTCTGTCGATGGAGCGATCGCAACGTTTTCCTGATACAGAATCGTCTAGCCAATGAATTGAACTTACGACTTTAGGTCCTGACTCGACCTGTCAGCCAGAACAAAGGTTTTATCGTCTCTCTTTTATGTACCCCCCACGCCTTAAGAGTTATATCCAAATTGTAAAAGTTAAGAAAATATATAAAAAGAATACCAAAAGCCTTAAACTATAAAAGCTTAAATCACATTAATACGCAGGTACGCCAATTTATCCTCTAATGATTTTCCTTTGCCCAAATACTTATTATTTACGATTCGCTTGTTTATTGCTTGATCCAATTTTCTTAATCAAATAATGACAATGTTTTTAATGGTCTTCGATCGAGTCAATCCGAGTTTTCTGATGATTGCATTCAGTAAAATTAACTTTCAGTAAAAAAACAAAAAACAAACAAACAAAAAATGTACCTAAATCTTCACCGCTAGAATCGACACAAAGCCACAATTTCTGGAATCGCAAATTCGATTAAATGAAAGTTGATTGATTTGCAAAAGCGTGAAATAAGATATTGTTCTTACATCGATTCAAATATAAGAAATCTAGCAAGGCCGTTGCTGAAAGACAGCGTAGATAATGTGTTTCCCGTGGCAACTGATGAGAAAAAAAAAAAACATTCAAAAATTGCTTCATTTTACTCTCTTTCCCTAAACACACACAAGCGCGCAGTGCAGACACATGCACATAAAGACACACACACACACAACAAACACACACACAAAACACATACATATATATATATATATATATATATATATATATATATATATATATATATATATATATGCACGGACATATGTGTCTGCATATTTATCTTCTAACTACGCATTATCTCGACTTTCCCTGAGTTAGCTGAGGTAGCTTTATATACATTTATATATTTCCAAAGGAGTAAAGGAAAATATCTCTTTTTTTTCTCTACTAGAATTTCTCGAGTATTCATTCCGGTAAACGAAAATAAATATAGTGTTTAAAAGATAAATATCCACTAAAATATAACGTTTAAAATGATACACTTGTTTGAGTAGACATCCCATTTTTCTTATTTTAAAACAGCGAAATTAACGTCTTCTTGTTCAGATGATCGAAAGGTAGCAACAGGTACATCTTCTTTAATATTATTTTCGATGATATAGACTATTATACGTTATATATATATATATATATATATATATGTGTGTGTATATGTGTGTGTGGTTAAATTCCCAGGTCAGTTCTGTGGAGAAGTCAAATTGGTTTAAGATGACAACAATTTGTCTTGTCCACAAAATTGATCTGGGAATTTAATTATGTTGTCGACATGGAAAAAAAAGCTCTTATAAATTTGGATTTTGTAATATAACTATAACGACAAAAACATTTCGATTTCATTTTTACCTTGAAAAATCAGAATACAAAACGCGACGGCACAAAACTAAGATTTTTTTCCAGTTGTCATCTTGTACCATATATATATATATATATATATATATATATATATATATATATATATATACAGTAGCGTCCAAAAAACTAGGGGCAAAATTTTAAAACCTAATATTTATTAGAAATAACAACTGTGAAAAGCTGAAATTTTGACAACTGGTAGTCGTTATCATCCATAATAACATACTAAA